AGCACTGCACCCCGCGATTGCAACCCGCTGCGGCACTGGGGAAGAAAAGATGCTGTGCTGCGCTATGCAGTGCCCTGCGGTGTCGGGCGCGTGCACTCACGCGCGCTCGCGTGCTCGCGCGTTCGCGTGCTCGCGCATGCGTGGTTGCGCGCCAGCGTGCGCAGCCCCCATACCGTCCCATCGGGGACTGAGGAAACCTGCGACATGATTCGAGGTAGAGTGGAGGCCCGACCACAGGGAACCTCCCACAAGAAACCCAACAGACCCCAGGACACCCATGAGTTCTTGGGGTGGGAGCGTCGCGCTTTCCATCGCAGAACCCTCGAAACCCAAGAAACCCAGGGCACCCTGGAGGCGAACAGGGTGTTTCGTGGCATGGGTCTCCACTGCAGAAACAGCGACTACAAAAACAATGTGTTGGGAGTCCCAGTGGACTTCTTGGATCGGCGCTGGGCCCCCCTCCATTTCGCGCGGAGCTCGCCAGGGGCGGCGCCAGGGGCGCCGCCAGGTGGGTCCAGCGCTGACCCAAGAAACCCACACCGACCTCCGAACCTTTTTTCATGTCTTCCAGGTTTCGTCTTCGACCCACCCCATCTGGGCGGGGGGGCCGCCGCGCCGGAGGAGCAGGAAAATTCTGGAGGCACCAGAATGAACCTTCCGACTGGCCGACTGGGCGGCTGGCAAGATCCCCGACTGGCCGAGTGGGTAGTGGGAAAGTTCATTCCGGTGCCTCAAAAGTTGTCATTCATACTCCCCCGGAGCCCTGGAGGATAGAATCCGATCCTGGGCCCACGACTAGCCCGGCCAGGGCCGGTGAAGGCGTACACGCCGGCGTCCCGTGGAAGATGGAGGCGGGCCCAAGCAGCCGCCTGCAGACGTCAGTACGCCGCGGATGTCTAGGGGAGGCGCGGCCAAGCCGAAGCGGCGCCGCGCTACGCCGCACTGCCATCCACGTCCTCCTCCGCCTGCTTAGGGTGCTGGAGAGGGGAGCATACGGGGGCGTAAAGCTAGCCCCTGCCATCACGACGCGGACATTTGCTGTTGGCATCGCGGAAGCCGCTCAATATTGCTCAATCTCAGCTACCCTGCAAGGAAGGCCGTTCAATGATGGCATTGTTCAGGCCGCTATAGTGGTGGTCTTCATTCTTGAACGCTTGCGCTGGCGTCGCTGCCGCGTCGACGCTCGCAAACCTGCCGTAACACTATCCACTTGCGTCTTTAGCCTGCTGGGATGATGTGACTGGGGAGCGCATGGTTTCCACGATCTGACGTTCGGGGTCCCAGGTTTAAGGGCAGCCTGATTACCAGATACGGGGTCTCATCAAGCCTGAGGACACGTTGCAAATAGAGGGAAAGATTGGAAGGCCCATTCCCCCGGTGAGCAATGACCTGGTGCACCACGCCATGATCTGCTCCGCGTTACCCTCCCTAAAGAAATGATAGTGCTCCTCATACTCTTGTTTCGGGCGTGGCCCGACTTTCCAAATCGCTAAGCTGACGGTTCGCATGGGCTGGACGTACCTGGTCGCATTTATTAGCAGAGCGTTTGAAGTTTCGGCGGACAGGGGCGCAATCTACGCCGAAACCGAGATCAGGCTGTTTCAAGTTTTGGCGACTGGAGGTCGCAACCTGTGGCGCAAGCATCTGCAGGCAATCGTGTCGGCGGCCAAGGGTGCAACCTATTGCGCAGCCTGTGCCACAACCTGTGGCGCAACCTATAGCGTTGCCTATGGCCGATGGCGCCATCCAATACCCTTTGGCGCACCGGCTGGCCCATGTAAGAAAATCTGGCGCAACATAGGGCGAAACCTGTGGCGCAACGTGTGGCGCAACCTACGGCGCAGGCTATAGCACAATCTATGGCACAACCTGCGGCAGAAACAAAAGCGTAACCCATTGCGCGACGTACGGCGCAACCTATTTGTCCCCTGGCGCAACCCATGGCGCAACCTCTGGCGCAACCTGTGGTCAAACATAGTGTAGCCCCACCTCCAACTGCGCAGCCTCTGGCGAACCCCGTGGCGCGTTCCATGGCGCTGATTGTGGCACAACCTGGAGTGCAATCTCCGACGGCTCAACAAAATCGTGATCTATCGCGCCGTTTCCAGAGCTGCCCCCGATCTATGCTCACCGATTGGACTGCGTGGCGGCGGGGCCCAAGCATCAAGCTGTCGTTTGATCAATACGCATATGAGTGGTGTGCTTCCCCCTACTCCCCCATTGCACCTTCTCTGCCTCCTCCTTCTCCGCAACATTCTAAATAAAGCATGACGATCCCAAGCACGCCGCTCGAGACGGGCGCTACAACAAAAAAACGATAGACCTACAGGGTGGTCTCCCCGAGTAGCGTTCGTCCCACGAGCGGCTGTGCCCCTCGAACCTTGGACTCTCACACATCGATCAGAGTGCAGTTCATGTCTTCCCGCTCATCTCGCACTTGTCGATCAGCAACAGACCGAAGAGAGGACAACATTGAGGAGCAGGAGAGAACGGAGGAGGAGCCTTGGACAAATGAGAAGGAAGAGGAGGTCGAAGATGCAGAGGATCAGCAGCAGCAGCAGCAGCGGACCGAGGATGATCATGCCCGAATCGATGTTGGGGGACGTGGTCACCTGGCAGTCTCCCTGCTCCTGCTGATATTGCTCCCCCCACTCACCCTAAGTCCGTAGCAGTATCCTCATCCTCCCTCCTCCTCCTCCTCCTCCTCCTCCTCCTCCTCGCCACCACCACCACCATCACCATCATCATCTCACTCCGCGTGTATCCCCTCCTACAGTCGGACCCGAGACAGAAGAGCATCCTCCAAGAGCACGAGACCCTCCGCCGGCCAACGTGAGGAGCGTTCGAGGGAACCCTCCCCCGTGATGGACAAGACGATCCAACAGGCACGAAGAATATCGGGGCACCCTCCCCGAACCGACCCCGATCTTATACCTCGGTCCGGCTGCACCAATCCTTCTCATCCCACTCACCCTTTTCATCCTGCTCCGTCTCTTTCTCCCATGCTCCTCCACCTCCTGCTGCTCCCGCTCCTGCCCGTCGTTCCTCCTCACTGCTTCCCCATTCCTCCCCCGTTCTCCTCACTGCTCCCCATTCCTCGCTCCTGCTTATCAAAGTCCTCCTTCTCCCCATTCCTCCCCCGTCCTCCACTCCCCCTCCCCCTCCTCCTCCCCTTCCCCCTCCTCCCCCCCCCCCCCCTCCTCCCCCCCCCCCTCCTCCTCCTCCCTCCTCCGCCTCCTCCTCCTCCTCCTCCCTCCTCCGTCATCATCATTATCAACAACATCATCATCACCATCATCATAATCACCATCATCATCATCATCATCATCATCATCATCATCATCATCATCATCATCATCATCATCATCAGCATCATCATCAGCAGCAGCAGCGGCATCATCATCAGCAGCATCATCATCATAATACCCATCATCATCAGCATCATCGTCAGCAGCATCAACAGCATCATCCTCAACATCATCATCATAATCGTCATCACCATCATCATCACCAACATCAGCATCCTCTTCATTACTATCACCGTCATCATCAGCAGCATCATCAGCAGCATCATGTTATTCATCATCATCAACCTCAGCATGATTTTGTTCAGCATCATCAACAGCCTCACCATCAGCAGCCATATCAGCATCGTCATCATCATCATCAGCATCATCATCATCATCATCATCATCACCATCATCATCTTCATCATCATCATCATCTTCATCATCAGCATCATCATCGCCGTCAGCATCAGCATCATCAGCAGCAGCAGCTGCGTCATCATCAGCATCATCATCACCACCGTCAGCATCATTAGCATAATCATCGTCGTCGTTGTCATCATCATCAGCAGTATTAGCATCAGCGTCAGTCTCAGCATTACCATCAACATCATCAGCATCAGCATCAGTATCAGTATCATCATCACCACCAGCACCATCAAAAGTAGCATCATCGTCCCCATCACCATCATCAACATCATCATCGTCAGCAGCATCATCCTCGCCATCGCCATCGTCATAGTCATCATAATCAGCAGCATAACAATTGTCATCATCAGCATCATCAACATCATCAACATCAACAGCATCAGCATCAGCAGCATCAGCACCAGCATTATCTCCATCGCCATCATCATCATCATCATCATCACCATCACCATTACCATCACCTTCGTCATCATCATCATCATCATCATCATCATCATCAGCCTCATCATCATCATCATCATCATCATCATCATCATCATCATCATCATCACCATCGTCGTCACCAACATCAGTGACCTCAAACTCCATCTCCCCTGACCATCTCCTCCTTTCTCCTCCCAACCATATCCATACTTTTTCATACCCGTCCTTCTCCTCCTCCTCCTCCTCCTCCTCGTCTTTCTCCTCCTCATTCTTTGCCTTCTCCTCCTTCTCGCCCCTCCTCGTCCACCCCTTCCTGCTCCTGCCCGTCGTCTTCCAAGTACCTCCCCTCCATTTGTTCCTTCACCTCTCCTCATCGATAAGGTTATCATCGTGCGCGGCCGCGGAGCGGCTGCCGCGGGCACTGGCGAGCACGAATCAGCGCACACGACGCGCAACGTGTCTGCAGTCCTATAGCGTTTTTCCTCGCGTCGGCTGGCCTCCCAAAAGCGTGGTCGACCAGCTGCTGGCAAAATACCCTAGGGCCAGCTGGCATCGTGTTCCTGCTCCTCCTCCTCCTCCTCCTCCTCCCATTTCTCCTCCTCCACCTCCTCCGTCCCCCCTCCTCATCACTCTCCTTCCCCTCCTTCTGTTCCTCTTCCTCTTCATCTTCGGACTGTCTACCCCCGCCCAACGCCCATTCCCTTCGCCTCCTCCTCCTCCTCCTCCTCCTCCTCCTCCTCCTCCTCCTCCTCCTCCTCCTCCTCCTCCTACCATCCCACCCGTCCGTTTCTCCTCGCCCGTCCTCCCCCCCACCTCCAAATCCCCCATATCCTCATCCTCTAAATCCTCGACGCCCAGAGGCGTGGTCACCTCGTAGCCGCCGTCAGGCCCACTCCGCACCTGGGCCATCACCTGGGCGCCGGCGGTACAGCCATCGGCCGGACCTAAGGAACGATACATAAGGAACGAAGCCCCTCTTGTTTTTCAGGGAATAACGCATAGGGAACGATATATATATAATACACAACGCATCAGGGACGATAAACAACGCATGCAAACCTAAGGAACGACCGAGCCCCTTCTGAAACGCATGTGTTCCTTATTCAAGCCGCTCACTGTAGAGGAGGCAGGGGCGGGGCAACAGGGGCACGCCCTTCGGGCGGCAGGGCGGAGCAGCGTCGCAGACGGGGAGCGCCGCCCACGAGCTGCCCAGGCGCTGCCTACGGGCCTGCTTGCGCAGCCCAAAACAAGACGAAGCCAGGACAAGTAAAGGTCTGGGGGAGAGTAAATCGAGAATCTCTGAGATCCGGCGGCTTTGGAGGATGTCTCGGGCGCCGCGGCCTTCTCAGAGCGTTGCGGAACGCTCCGAGAACGCTCCGAAACGCTCGGGAACGGATTTTATCCTCGCCCTGGCCCCGTCCGAGGGAAGCGCTGCCCACGAGCTGCCCAGGCGCCGCCCACGAGCCTGCTCGCGCAGTCCAAAGACCCGGAGGGCGGAGCAGCCTGCACAGGCGCGAAGAGGGCACAACAACGCAGACGCTCTGGCGCGTGCGCGGGCGCGCGTGGTGCCCGGGCCTGCGGGCTCCAAGGGCGCAGCCGCACGGACGCGCAGGACGACGCGCGCGCAGGGGATTCCTGCTCGCAGTGGGGTTTGCGCCTGAAACGTCCGCAAAAGTAGGGGGCCACATGCGAACCCTACCCCCTACCCCCCACGACTTCTGAGGGGGAGGGTGGGGTTCACTTCGTTCGCGAGCTCCCGAACGAAGTGAACCCCAGCCTCCCCCTCAAAAATCGTGGGAGGCAGGGGTAGGGTTCGCATGTGGCCCCCTAAAAAGCTTCCTCAGCGGGGCAGTCACGCTGCGAAGCAGCTGCGGGGATGGAGGGCGGCAGCTGCTGGAAAATAGGGGTATGGCCGACGCAGTCAAGTCGCAGAACAGCGATGCGCGGTAAGGATGCAGGGGCCTTGGAGGGCCATGTTGGCGTTTTCGAACGGGGTTGGCCAGCGAAAGTCGCCAAGGATGGGCCGAAAGGGCACGGATGCGAGGGTAGCCTTGGAAAGTTGTTCAGCCTCCCTATACGACTTGACTGCACTTCCCCAGCGCTGACTACCAGTGCCAGCCAAGTGCCAGCTGCGCGGATGCCGGGTGGTTCCTTTCAGAAGCGGGGCGGCCGCACCTTTACGCATAATTATCTTATGACTCGAAAGGCGAGCGTTTTCTTATTCGGCGTTTCGACATTAGGCGGAAGGGGGGGGGAGGGGGGAGGGGTCTGGCTCCGGACCCCTGCTTTGGAACAGTGCCCCAGCGGGGGATCCTATGGGGAGCCGTCCACCTGCTTGAAACAGGCGCCCAAAACAGCCAATATCTACTTCACGGGGAGGGGAGGGGAGTGCGAGGGCCCGCGCCGATCGGCAAAATAACGAATAACAAAACGGTCACAAGATGGAGCGCGGTGGTTTGTTTCACAGAGCTCCCCCCCGTGAGTTGCGAGTCCAGGAGGGCGGTCGTCTCTCAAGGGGGCGCCTCGCGCGGGGGAAACGCACGCGCGCAGGAACTTCTGAGCGGGGGCACGGATGCGGCGACGGCTGGCAGGCGTGAGGATCCGATAGCCTCGCCCAGGATTTGCAAGGGTTTCCGCCGCGCGGGGCGCCTTAGAAGACTGCGCGAGGCTGGCGCGAAGATTGGCGCTGTGCACCGCGCAGGGCCCCAAGCGGCGTGCCTTTGGGGCTCTGCGGTCGCGGGGTTGCCTGGCACGAAGCTCCGCGCTCTTCGTTCCCAGGCAGCGCGAGGCCTAGGAAAGAAAACCCTGTGGCGAGCTCACGGCCCACCGCGCCCAGCTACTCCGCCACATGCCTCGCCGCCCCGATGCACTGCGCCGACGCGTCGTCCACCGCGTCGCGCGCCGCCACCGTCGGGCGCTCACGGCCGAGGCTGATGAACATGCGGTACAGCATGACTTTGATCATCGCGGTCGCCAGGCTGCAGCCCGCAAGGGCCGCCCCGCCGTCCACCGTGACAGCCGCGCTGCAGCAGCCCCGGAAGGAGATCGCCCGCGGCCCGCTGCACAGGGCGCACGCCGCACGGAGGGCGCGCATGCTGAAGCCGACCTCCTGGGCCTCCTTGCCCAAGGTGGCATGCGAAGCAAATTCGCGCGCCTTCTTCAAGTCCGTGAAGAGGGAGCCAGACTCCATGCCGAGCGCGTAGGCGTAGTAGCCCAGCACGTTGCGCCCCCAGCCAACGCGGTCGCACGACTTGCCACGCACTCCCCGAAAGGCCGCCAGCCTGTGATCGCGCTCCCGCTGCTGGGCGAGGTCCGCCCTCAGGCGGCCCCACACTCGTAGCAGGCTGGCGATCAGCGCAATCGGCCCGAGGCCGCCACCACCCCCGCCAATGAAGATGATCAGCGTGGGCCAGAGGGCGGACCACGACGGCGAACGCCCCCGCAGCTCAATCAGGTCGAGGACGCGCACCAGGAACTCGTCGGGCAGCAGGAGGCACGACCTCAGGCTGACGCAGTCACTACCCAGCCCCGTGCGGTGAGCGAAGCGGCCCAACACCCGCTTGAGGCTTGCCAGGCCGGCCCGCGGGGGCCCCCCCCTTCTCCGCCGCCGCGAGCGCCTCGGCCCCGAGCGGCGCCTTGCCCGCCTGCCAGCGGGCCTGCCACTCGGCGAGCAGCGCCTCCACGGCCGCGCCCCCCAGCAGCAGCGCCCCGTCGGAGTCCGAGGGCCCGTCGAGCGCTGAAAAGGCCTTGCTGCACCTGTGAGCCTCCGCCCCGCCATTGAGCACCGCCCCTCTAGCCCAGCCCTGCCAGCGGTGCCAGGCGGCCTGCTGCTGCTGCTGCTGCTGCTTGCCGACCGCGTCGGCACGCTCGCGAAGGCGTTCCTCGGCCTCGGCCAAGCTGGCCCCGCCGGCGAGCAGCGCAGCTCCAGGGTCTGGAATCGCGAAGCTGCAGTCGGCCAGCTCACTGGGCCCGAGGCGGCCGACAACCTCGCGGCCGATGGCCGCGCGGAGGTCGCGCACCTGGCCCAGCAGCTCCTCGGGCCACGCCCGCAGCTGCTCCACTGCGTCTGCTGCACTCGAGTCCCCCCCGCCAGCATGAGCAGGAGCCAGAAAAGAAAAAAAAAAAAAAAAAAAAAAAAAAAATGAATTTCACGCAAAGGGTTCTGGCACCACCAACGGTGCAACGCATGTGCACACATGCCACTGGATCCCCAGCGACCCGAACCAGGGTTGATGCACGGCCGTGCTCTAGGATGCAGTTGAAATGCATGGTGCGGCAAGGCTGTCGGCGGCGACGAGATCCCAAGATCCGCTACCGACGAACATCCCACGGTGGTTTGGCACAGACAAACCGCCGTGCAACGTCAGTTTGTTCATCCGTTGACAGCAGCACGCGTCGCGGCAGCAGAACGCAGCAGCGCGCGCGGGCACGCAGGGCTGGCGACGTGGCTGGCCAGCTGCCAGCGCGACTTCGGCAGAAGAACCGAGATCCACGTAGGATCGTCTTGGGCGCGGTATCCGGCGCAGCTGCATCGCACTGCCAGGCGCCGCGGCCTTGCGACTGTAGCGACAGGCCCCGCGCGCTCCTCGAGGCGGGAAAGCAAACTCCACACAAAGGAACCGCGCGTGCTCTCGTGGGGGCGGCGGAAACGATCGCACACAAAGGCAATTCCTCTGCGCGCCCCCCGCGCTGGCAGTGCAACCAGACCGCGCGCCAAGGAATTACACGAGACTTCGCGGCACACAAAGGAATTAGAACAACGCCTTTTGGGTTGCGCTCTTCGCGCGCGGCGACAGCTCCGAGCTGGAAGCGGAGCGGGACAAGGCACAACGGGGGAAGAGGGAAAATAAGAGGAGGGCGAGAAAGGAGCGACGGACGCAACGGAAGGAAGCCAGGATGCGCGCAAGCGAAGCTAACACTGCGCGCCGAGACAGCTGTTCGTTCGTTCGGTTGGCCGTGCGGCAGATGCATCGAAAAAGAACTGTGTGCTGCCTATCGAAAGGACTTCTTGGGGATGAGACTCGCGCTCCCTTCCCGACCCCCTTTCCCGCGCCCCGTTGCGAGCGCGCGACGATTTGTCCTGGCCCGCGGGCAGAGGACTGCCAGTTGCTGGCGAGCGGCCTTTCCACCCGCCACGCGTTCCGAACACATGCGACCAGCGAAACGCACTTGCCACGCAAACCGCCAGCTCCAGACACCGACGCCACCCCGATCCCCGCATCCGTGGCAGGCACCCTCTCAACGACACCCCCTTCTGGCGTAAATCCAATAAAACCCTTTGCGTTTATGTGTTCTTCCTGTTCTGAATGAGGAGAAGCACTGGACTCTCGGGCTGCTTGCTGCGACGCTGGTCGCTCAACCCGCAACGAACCCTCGGCAAGGCCCTGCGCGTAGGACACCAAGCCTTCCACTCCCGGCTGCTCCTGGGATCGCCGGGCGGGCGCGCGCCCCCCCCTAGCCCGCGAGGGCTGGGGCCCGCGACCAGGCCCAGGCTGCGGCTGCGCATGGGGGGCGTCAACAGGCCCGCGCCCTCGCAGGAAGGGCCGTCCTCCAGGCGGCAGCGCGACCTCGAAGGCATCCTGACCATGCGGGGGGGGGGCAGCGCTCGGACCGCGGACGGCATCGGCCACCCGCCCGTCGGCGGCATCGGCGGTCAGCTGGGTGCTGCGGGAGGCCACGGCCACCCGCGCGTCCGCGGCTGCCCGCTCGCACCCTATGCTGCCCCCCCCGCTGCGGTCGGAGCCAACGCGGCCGTTCCAGAGCGACCTCGCCCTGCCCAGCACCGCAGCCAGGGGCCGCCCAGCCCTGGCGGCCCCCGACTGGCCCGGCAGCTGGCGCCCTTTGACCAACACGTCCAGCGAGACGGTGCGAAGGCTCACGCCGTCGGCCCTGCCGCGGTGCTTCTCGCCTGCTGGCCCTTGAAGGTCAAACTGGCAGCAGAGCTCATCCCCCACGTTCCTGAGCCACTCCCGCCACGCCCCAACAAGGCCCAGGCCTGTTGGCCCCCCCCCTTCCGCCCAGCTCCAGCTGTGGACCAGCGGCTCGGGGAGGCGCCCCACCTGCCTCGCCGTCGGGACCTCCCCCCGCTTCAGACGGACTTGGACGGACAGGTTCAGCGAGAAGCCAGAGATGCGCAGCTCGATGGGCGAGCGGGGTGCCGAGAGCGCCCCCGCGCGCACCATGACCTGGCGCGCGCAAAAGGCGAGCCCACGCGGAACCGCGAAGAAGCCCAGCCCCCTCGGTGCCCCAGGGCTTGGGTAGCAGGCCGCGCCTCCCGCTGCCACGACGGAGGCCCCGAGGAGCTGCGCCCAGCTGGCGATCCCACCGTCACCGGCAGGCATGTTCCAGTCGCCGCCGATCACCCACGGCGCGCGCAGCTCTGCCAGCCAGCGGCCCAGGCTGCGCAGGAGCGTGATGTTCTTGCCCTCGAAGCCGAGCCCATCGAACAGGTAGACGGAGACGAGCCTAATCCCGCCTGGCACCACCGCCTGAGCCTTGAGGCCAGCGATCCTACCCGCCCATAGCTTGGCCAGGCCGTCCAGGTCGTCGTAGCTATAGGTTGCGGCCGTGATGTGCTTGGCCGCGCACGCCACGCCCCCCGAGGACATGGCCAGCTTGTGCTTGCCCTTGACCAGGCAGGGCGTGACCGCATCACGGTTGCCCTGCAGCGCCAGCCAGCTGGACACGCTGCGCGACTCACCACCGTCGCGCCTGCGCGTATCCTGGCCTGCCCAGAAATGGGGCGGCGCCATGACACTGGTCGTGCGCTCCGCCAACCTCCAGTCGACGATCGCCTCGAACGAGTTGCGGCCCGTGCTGCTGGCCCACGTGTTGCCGCTGGCTGAGCAGAAGCGCCAGACCGTCTCTCTCGACGAACCCTGGCGGCCGCTAAACCCGCCGCTGCTTCCGAATGGCCGACTTGACCTTCAAGCCCTTGAGCTTGTCCTCGTGGGCCCTCTTGACCGCCGCGCGGCGCTTTTCGGGGTCGGCGTCCACGCTGCAAGCCGCGGCCTGCTCGGCAAACTCAATGAGGCAACGCTGGGGATCTTCGTCGAGACACATATCCTGATCGCCTGCCGTGAAGCCATCAGCAAGGAGGTCGCCATCATCATCGTCATCATCATCACCAGGAGCCGCCGCAGCACGAACTGCACCTGCACTCGCCTGCTCCTGCAACAGGGCGATGGGTTTCCCGAGGTTGCCCTGCTCTTTGTCGGCAGCGAGCCACTCGGCGAACCCCTCGCCAGCTGCCTGGCACTGCTCTGCGGAGGGCTCCAGGCTGAGCACTGCGCCGCCTCCGTACTGTTTCTGGGAGGTCGTTTTAGCCTCTACCTCCACAGGGGCAACCCCCAAGGCCGCGACCTCCTCGTCGAACATCTCCTTGGCCTTCGCGACCGCAGCCCTCTTGGCCTCGAGCGTCGCGTCGGCCTTGACCTTCGCCGCCCTGGTGCGCTGCAGCCGCTGACTGACGGAGGCCTCCACGGCCTCGGGCGGCTTGGTCTGGAGGAGAAGCTCCTGAAACTCTGACACCTTGGCCTCGAAGAACTGCTTATCAACCTCGCTGGTGGCCCCCTTGGCGCAGCTGCGCCAGTGACTGATGCGAGCCTGCAGGTCCTTGGCGGGATCCGAGACGATGCGGGTCTCCGCACCCTTCTCGGCAGTCTCCGCGGCGCCTCCCCGGGAAAGCTGCCCAGCGCCTTGGCCACCTGCGTCTGGACGAGCTTGGCGAGGTCCTTGGGCTGCGCCCAGGCTCCGCGCGCCCCCCCTCCACACACACACACACACACACACACACACACACACACACACACACACACACACACGCACGCACGCACGCACGCACGCACGCACGCACGCACGCACGCACGCACGCACGCACGCACGCACACACACACACACACACACACACACACACACACACACACACACACACACACACACACACACACACACACACACACACACACGCACACACACACACACACAACACACACAACACACACAACACACACACACACAACACACAACACACAACACACAACACACACAACGCACAACACACAACACACGACACACGGCACACGGCACACGACACAAGACACACGGCACACGACACACGACACACGGCACACGGCACACGGCACACGGCACACGACACACGACACACAACACACAACACACAACACACGGCACACGACACACGACACACGACACACGACACACGACACACGACACACGACACACGGCACACGACACACAACACACAACACGCAACACAACAAAAAAGCATACGCATCCTCTTCCTCCTCCTCCTCCTCCTCCTCCTCCTCCTCCTCCTCCTCCTCCTCCTCCTCCTCCTCCTCCTCCTCCTCCCGATCTTCACCCCTAGACCAGGGACGTCACGCTTTTTTGCAGCGTGGGCCCCTGGAGGTCTCGACCCCATCCCCAGGGCCCGCTTTCCATCCCGAGCCGTTCCTTGGACGGCCCAGGAGGCCCTGCCGGGGCACCCGGGAGGCCAGGCCCTGCCCACAGTCCTCCTGTCGCGACTCTTGCCCTCAGCGAGAGAAGGCGGCAGGCCCTTGCCAGCCTGGAGCAGATCCCTATCCCTAAACTGAGCATCGCCTCAACACAATGCCAATCTTAGGGATTCCCTTAGTTCTTCAGGGCGCATCCCTAAGATTGTCATCGCCTTCTGGCGTGTCAATCTTAGGGATGGGGATACGTTCGAGGCTGGTGAGGCCCTGGCTCCCGCTGGAAGCGGGGGGGGGCCTCCGCCTCTGGACCGGGAGGAGTCTCCGCCGTCGGGCCTCCAGGGCTCCCAACGTCGCGCCTCGCGCGGCGCGAAGCGCGGGGTGCGAATAGCTTCGCGCTCCGGCGCCGCCTTCCAAGGGAGAAGAGGAGGAGGAGGAGTCGGAGCCGAACCGCGAGGCGCGAGGCGCGAATAACTTCGCGCCCTCGAGGGCGCCCTTGGGTTTGCACTTCAGCTGGAGGGGGGGTCCGTGCCCGCGCGCTTTCGCCCCTCGCCCGAGCGGCCTGGCCCTGGCCGCTGGTCACCTGGGCCTCGTGCGCCAAGAAGTCCCCGGAGAAGACCGCCAGGATGCCCAACCCGCACATGACGTTGTAGTCCTTCGCCGTCGTTGTCGCTGTTGTCGTCGCGGTCGTCGCGGTCTCCGTCGCCGTTGTCGTCGTCACCCTCGCCGTCGGGGGGGCGAACCTTCTGGGAATCGCCAGGCCACCTTGGGGAGTCCCACCCACATTCCTTCCGGCTATTGGGCCCTCGTAGAGCTTCCTTGGGGTCCATTGGGGCGCTCCTGGAGCGGTCTTGGGGGCCTGAAGGCCGCTCCCGGGAGCTCTGGCATCCGTGGCCAGTGGGCAGGGTCATTTTCGTCCGGGGACCCCCTGGGGCCGAGCCGCGCCCGCGAATGCGAACCATGCATTGCAACCATCATAGCGGAGATTCTTCTTGCACGCCTTTGGCCCGCTGGGTCGGCGCATCAAGGTTGCACATTTGACGAGCAAGGAAGATCTCGCTCCACCTGCACTCCGCAGCAGCTCTCCCCACCCCGAGACGCCACCTCCTATGGGAGACAAGGTTCGCCCGGACCGCCAGGGGCCACTGGGGCGAGGCTGGGTGATGGATGGCGGATTCCGCAGACCCTGAACCCCAAAAACGCTTTCATCTCTTGCGGGCGCATCTTTTGCTTCCGCCGCCGTCCGCCGCGCCGGCCTTCTGCCAGCTTCCGCCGGCGGAGGCGGCCTCCTTCTGCTTCCGCCGACCTTCCGCCGCCCTTCCGCCGCCCTCCGCCGAGGAAGAGATGGCAACTCCTTCCATCCTCGAAGGCGAGGCCCTTTCTGGAACGCTCCGGATCGCCGCTGCGGTCCCATCGGAGTGTCGGCAAGCACCCCACACCACGGTTGGCGCTGGAGAGATTGCGTGCAGCATCGATCTCCGAGAAGCACACGGCAATACCCCCCCGAGGCGATACCCCCGCGAGGGCCCCTCTGTGCACGACACCTGCCAGGGCTTCTTCGGTACACGCTATCCCCAAGATGGGGGATAATTAGCGTGTCTTTGCCATCGCTGGGACGCCCGTTCCCAGGGCACTCTTCGACACCGCGAGCGCACTGCTTCGCATGATGTCCCAAGATGGTCCTCGCCAGGAACAGCTGCACACGTCCGAGCGGTGCCCGGTGCAACGAGAGGGCCGGCGGCACCACGCCGCACGCCACCTTCCCAGCGCCAGCCGCAGCCACCTCGACACCACGGCCACACGTCGCCCACCCGCTCTCCGGGCCACGCGACGGCCGTCCCCCCCCCCGCGCACCGCCCTCCGCTCCCCTCTGCGGGCTCTGGTGGTGGCGGCCCACCCGTGCCCTCACGAACTGACCGGACCCGACGGGGCCCGCGGGAACCCGGCCCCTTTCCAGGGGGCTGGCTTCGCCTTCTGAGTCGTCCGTGGACGGCCCCGGGGCCAGGCGAGGGCCCCCGAAGGCCGAACACTGCGGAAAACCTCGGCGCCGAATCTCTCAATACGTCAGACGTCTGGGGACGCTGGGCGAACTCGAGCCGCGGGGCTGCAGCGTTCCACGCAGCACTACTTGATCTGGCGCCTCCTCCTCCTCCTCCTCCTCCTCCTCCTCCTCCTCCTCCTCCTCCTCCTCCTCCTCCTCCTCCTCCTCCTCCCCGTGTCCCCCGTGTGGCTCTTCTGCAAGGTCGCGAACTGCAGCCCGTTGGACCGCAGGATCGGGACGATCGGAGAGGCCTGGGGAGCCGCGCACGACGCACCAGGGGGGGGGGGCCGACTGGTGCTCTCGGATGCCCAGGGGAGGAGGGGAATAGGTGGCCGAGAAGGGAGAGGAGCATGAGCGGTCAGGAGCAGGACGAGGAGGAGGAGGGGGAGGAGGAAGGATGGCAACGTCCCTTGAGACTCCGATGTCACTGATACGCAGAAAAGGAGGAGGAGGAGGAGGAGGAGGAGGAGGAGGAGGAGGAGGAGGAGGAGGAGAGGAGGTGAAGGAGGAGGAGGAGGAGGAGGAGGAGGAGGAGTCCGCAGACATTTTGGCTCAAGCCATTTTGGCTCAAGGCGTGCTGCCTCACGGGCGGCCGCGGCGGCTGGTTTCAGCGACAACGACTACTAGGAGGCAAGGAGAGCCAGCCTGGCATAGGCGCCTGAGGTCAACTCGGGCAGCAGCAAGGACACGATTGAGAGTGGCGTCAGCCGCCAGGACTCTGTCAGAGCACCACAGCGCCCAAAGATACTTGGACGAGGAGATCATGGCGGGCAGACAGCAGAGGAACTACGGTGGCGGCGCTACAAAATACGATTGGCACCAGCAGCACAATTGGAAGGATGCAACACCGTGGAGTCAGAACAATAGACGAAGCCGACGAAGCAGTTCGAGGCCGAGATCGATGTCAAGGAATGGAAAAAGGGATAACAATGGCATGGGCAAATTGTATGAATCTATTCCGAATGCAACGAGTGATGCGGCGTCTTCATATCCAGGGTTCGTATGGCCACCTGAGGACAAGGCGGGAATGAAGCAATTCAAGGACAACGCCTTCAAGCGTGTGAATGTCTTGTTGAAAATGGTGGCCGCAACACACGAGGCAAAGGAAGATGCGACGACACAGAGGAATGAAATCAGCGTTATAAAATTCCAATGACTGGGTATGAGGCCATCGTACAAACAAAAAACAATCTTGGACCATGACATGGAGAAGGTCGAGGCCCAGGTACGCAAGAACGTCATAGAGAGGAAGAAGTTGCAAGAACAAGAGGTCGAGCTGAGAAGACAAAAGACACGGCTGGAGGAGCTTCTGCATGATCTTCAGCGACAAAAAGAAGAGGAGGAGGACATTGACGACATCATGGGGTGCGAGGATGAAAGCGCGGCTTTCCCCGATACGGGACGTCCCCCCCAACCTCCTCCAAGGCCTGCAAATCCATTAGCACAGGTGGCGGAACAGATCTCCCAGTTGACAAAGATGGTTGCGGCTCAGGCGACATCACAGGCGGAGCTGAAAGCCAAGTTCGACATGCAGGAGAAGATAATTGGTCAAAGTACGATTGCGAAGAATACTTACAGGGCTTTCGTGGAGGAAAGGAGGCACTGGAAGTTGCACACAAGAGGTTGGTTGAAGTGGAAAAGATGGCCGAAGCTCAGATTGCACAACAACAGGCCCAGCAACAGCAGGAAGCTCAGCAACAGGCGATGCAGGCCGAGCAGCTCCAAGCATTACAAGTGCAGCATCAGCTGTATCAGCAATGGCTCGAGTTTCAGCATCAACAGCTATTCAGTGGTATATCATATAAGCAGCATATTGACAGCTGCAAGCATTATATAAAGAACAGAATGATCAAGCCCAAGCTGGGGACCTCCAAGACCTACGTCAGTTTGCTAAGGAATATGGACGTTGGGAAACGAAGAAGAACGATGAGAAGAAGGACAGCCCTCCCCAGCAGGAGCAACAACATATGCATGCAGGGGGTGGAAGGCCGGAAGATATAGTGGAGGAGGTTACGGTTGTGGAGGTCCAAAATATTCCAGTACCAGAGGAGGGCGGTCAAGATCATGATGGGCTGCACGAACAAATGGCTCCAACGGAAGTAGCAGAATCGTCTATCCCCGATGAACAAGCGACCCCTGGACAAGTTGAAGATGATCCATATATCTCGCCCAGTTTCACGGTGAACAATGGTGCGCAGAATGCTGGTAAATTCAGGGCAATGCAGCCGTTTTTCGAGAGAAGGAAGCAGGAAGTGATATCACCGACGGTTCCAATGATGCCACAAGCGGTAGATCCCCCCAAAAGAATTTTGCGATCTCAACTCCTGAAGGTTCACCACAAAGGGGAAGGGATCACGAGTCCGACAGTGGAGGGAGCCGACAAGGACATCAGCCACCAGCTAAAATACGCATGGGCGAAAAAGTTGGAGGGAATGGATTTGGGCAACCGAGCGACAGGACACGGATAACCTCGCAGACAATGCCATCAACAGCACCGGCCTCGCATGCAAAAAAGTGAGGTGGCACCCTTCTCTGCAGAGTGACGGCCGCTGCAGTGAAGGAGTATCAGGAAGGGTCACATGTAAGTCAGGAGTTCATGGCATTTGGCCTAGTATGCAGACGGATTGCGGGATTTCCTCTGAGCATACAGGATATACCTCATCGTCTACTTCACCTTGCGATGTTCAGCAAGAGTTGCACCATACAGAGGGACAACAGGAGGGGCGCCGTGGGATCCATCCACCGAGCCTCAACCATGCTCCTGACGCACTTGCGAATGGTACTGTTTTTCTTGATCGGGGGGGGCGAGCGAACTGCAGGGCAACCACAATGGATTTGACGGAACACACTACACACAGTGGCGGAGATCCTCATCCAGAGGCCCCCCCGACTGGCCCATGTACGAGAATTCCTCATCCCCCTGGCTTGGAGGACAAGTATATGGATGGGGAGATGCTACTCTTTCATCAATTTCGGACACATGCTCATAGCCCAACGATGGACCTGGAAGCACAACGGACTGACGGCAGGCTGTGCCAAGTTAAGATTCCAGGGCCATTTCGAGATCTACTCAGTCGGCAGGATCTACTACTCGAGATTCCAATGCAGCTTGCCCGAGACCTCGATGGGATTGAACTCAGCGAGAAGGCCAAGCAACCTTTGCGAATGGCACCGTGGCGGCCATGCATGCCGACTGCAGCGCATATTTGGACAGATGGAACTCATTTGGAAGCTGATTCTACTCGTGAAGGGTGGGCTGTGGTGGTCAACTTTCAGGATGAGGAAGGAAGTTCATTTCAAGGATATCTGGCATCGAGGACAAGTGGAAGCTCACAGATAGTATTCGAAGGAAGCCATATGGACAGTACGAGTTCTGAGATTGTGGCTATGATATGGGCCCTCCTTTTTGTTCTCCAGAATGCATACAGGATGATGCAATGGACTATTTTCTCGGACTCAAAGATTACACTGGGAATTCTTGACAAGAAACATGGGCATCGGCCAAGTCCACGATCCGCGGCATTTCTCTCTGCACTCGCACAGGAGGTCTGGAGCACATGCGATAGATGCTTTCTATATACTAAATCCCACGAGGCTGACAATTGGAATCATTTGGTCGACAGCATTGCCAAAGAGAACATTAAAAGGTTACTACCGTGCCCACATTTTCAAGTCGCGGAATCGATAGAAAGTACTGTCAGGGGCTACAGTGGGCATGGCCAAGATATGCACAAGAAGAGGCCAGCAGCTACCCAAGTGCGACGGATGACGGGCTTTGTTTTCGTCTACCTCCTCGGCCACAATTGCACCATGCGAATTTGGAATCTACTGATGAGCTTAAGGCCATAGCCTACGCCAATGAGGAGGTAGCAACCACAGAGACCATGACCATGAAGGCGAACGTTCATGTCAAGATTGCTTCATACAATGCCATGTCATTTACGGAGACCAAGTCGGGGAAATTGAGCATGGTTCAAAAGGAAGCTAAAAAACATCGGCCTCAACGGCCACGGCTACAATTTCACGAAGAACAGCTGTTACTAATCGTAAGCAAGGAAGCCAGAGGAAAAGAGGGGCAGCAGTGGGCCGACAATTACACTACACTCCGATCAGGCGCTGACACTGGTGGACTAGGATGTGCACTACTGATATCTACGTTTATTCCGTATGCCACCAGGGAGAGGGGCAAAAGGGACCCCATCAAATATTTCATTGCCGGGAAACATCTTCGGGTCTTGGTCAAAGATCCCAGGAGACTATAGTACGTATTCAAGCCCCCCACTTGCACTGTGCCATTGCCATTTTGCACGCACCACAGCGGGGTGGGCCAGCAGCTGAACGGCAAGCTTGGCGGGATGGAACGGTGGAAATATGAGGAAAGGACCATTGCGATTTTCTTCTCATGGGCGCCATAGCAAGAATGAACCAGAAAGCATGATAGTTACCATATATTGGAAGCGAAGGTCCACCAAGTAAGACTGATGAGTCTGGACATTGGCTGGTTGACCTTTGCATGCGTGAGAAGATGTACCTCATCAACACGCTCAAAGGGGATGCCCCGGATTGGACATATACAGATGGAAGCGCATTACATCGGACAGGTTACACTGCTACGAGTGAGCAATGGCATGATGCAACTACTGGACTTTACATCATCAAAGACCTGGACAACGGACGAAGCCAAGAAGATCATCGTCCTGTAGTGGTGGAGATATGTTGTGATCACTCATCCGCAACGAAACCTGGCGTTGGACGGGTCAACCCATCGATGGAAGAGCTTGCGGATGAAAGGCGACAAAGACAGTTACGAGAAAGGCTCGGAAAAGAACACCCAGGGAAATGGAGCGAGGAGATCAACGGGCAGTCTAAGGAAACCATCGGCAAAATCAAGGAACACGCGAAGTCCCTTTTCTCCAAGGACAAGTTCACCCCGCACCAATCATACATCAGTCGGAAGGTCACGCAGCTCATCAGGCTAAGGAGATATGCTTTGGAAACTCAGAGGAGAGAGGAGAAGGATGGAAGAGAACGCATTCAACAACATTGTACGTCATCTTCCATAGCAGGCTCATCTGTTTGCAAAACAATCAGACCCATGGTACGAATATGTCTGCCAACTAGTGTTGGCATGCGGTTTTCTTCAGGATAAGATATGGTCCGCTACGGAATTCGGAGCTCAACTGGATGCTTTCCTCATTCGAACGCAAAGTATCTTGTCTGCGCGACTTGCCTTCGAGAAGGTGGAGTATCCGGAAAAGATTGCGATATCGATTGGTGAGCACTCGGCGATTGGGGGTCAACGGATTGCATGGAGAGAAGTCAAACGACTACTGAGATGCGGAGGGCGCCAACACCCAAGGTATACCAATGGCTCCTTTTTTACCATATAGGATTGACTACAAAGGCAACGTGATCACCAACGAGAGCGAGATGGGTGAAAATCGACTGGCGGCGTACTCAAAACTTGAGGATGCGCAGGTAATGGACGCTAAACAATACGTTGATCAGTTCAACAGATACCCAAGCACGGACCTTGATTCAGTTCCTCTGAGGATTGATATGGCACCGTCTCTCCAACAAATTGAACTGATGTTCTCCAAGGGGCCATCTCGCCGAGCTGAAGGCCAAGATGGAAGTATTGAGGAGCTGGTCGAAGTCGCACCGAAAGAGATGGCTAGGTTGGCCACGCCGATTTCCGGCAAATCATGTTCACAGGTACCGGGCCCATTTCATTCAAACACATCAGGTTGGCGGAGGTTTCGAAAGAGAATGGCAATCAATACTCCAATAAGGGGTACAGAGCAGTTACCGCGTGTAATGTGTTTGCCAAACACCATTATAGGTTTTCCGTTCTCAGCTTGCGTATACGATCGACATCACGTTGAGGGGCACTCAAATCGGAGGGAGGTCATATCGGTCACCGACTATGGCGGCGCACCAAGCAAGGCTGGTTGGAAACATTGCAGAGGAAATTGGGAAACCAGCTGCATTTATATTTCTTGATTTGGTGGCTGCATTTCATGGGATTGTCCGTCAGATGGCGTGTAAAATTCAATATCTGGACGACGAGCCTATGCGCATTCGCGACAAGTGTGACATCCCGTTGGGCCTGCTACCACTGGCAATGGAGGTGTTATCACAACCAGCTATCCTGGGATCAGAGAATATTGACCCCCATCTCAGGCATCCCACAGCTGAACCTCAGAGGATGACATTCTTCGAAGTGGAAGGATGCAACAAGATAGGATTGCCCACTCGATGGGACGAGACCAGGATGTGCGACAGCAGACTATTTCTTCAATATTGTTTTCACCAAGCCGCTGCAGATGGTGAACGAACGACTTCGGGAACATGCACTACTATTCGATTGCGAAGACCATCTACCAGAGGAGCGTTCGATACCCATGGAAAACTACAGCGAGAAGAAAATAATGGACGTAACATTCGTTGGTGATGTAATGATTCCGCTTAGTATTGATAATGATGAGATGTTCAGGTCATTACGAGCAGCAATGGACATTATGCACGAAACCTTCATTGTTCACTTCATGGAGCCAAACTACGGAAGGGGAAAAACTGTGACCCCTGTGCAATTGCGTGGTCGAAAAAGGGATCAGCTGCGGCAGGAGTTGTACCCAGGTGAAGATGTCTCCTTCAGGAGTTTGGAATATGATTTCTCATTCTACGTTGAAACGCAGTATAAGCACATGGGGGCAATTGTATCCTTTGACGCATCGTGGAGACCAGAGATTACATGGAGGATCCAGATGCACGACCATGCTATGGGGCCGAGACAGAGGGTATTACTCAACAAGGGCACGCTGTCGGTTGAGGCAAAGGTGAGGTACTGTGAGGCCCTCGCATTCTCTAAGCTCTTCCAACGAATGGAGAGATGGCACGATTTGGGAGTTACTAGCGAGAATCTGATAAAAGCGGCGAATGTTGGTACTCTGCGTGCAGCTGCGAGGATGGTGCATGTAGCGAATGCCGAGGGACATTTTAACGACGATGCTGTCTTCTTAAAAACGAAACGACTGGGGCTCGATCTCATACGGAGGGCTCGGCGGCTGAAGTACTTCGAGCATGTCATCAACTATGGGCCTGGCAATTTGAAATTACTTCTGGAAGCTAATGGCTGGGAAGGCTCATGGCTTGGACAGGTACGTGAATATTTAGAATGGCTACGATGAATTGTACCAGAGAGGACGAACAACGTGGTGGCATTTAAGGATTGGATAACGGTCACCAGGACTTCCAGGAGACATTATCAGAATAGTTGCAACCTTGCGTGGAAAACGACTAGGCTAAAGGGGCATGGTGAGTGCTTACAGAGAGTCGGGAAAAATACTACTATGCGGCTTTTTCCCGAACAGGATCCTGGAGAGGAGGCACGTCGTCGTATACTATGCTACGAATGTGGGGCAATGTTCAAAACAAAGAGAGCCTGGCAATATCACCATACCAAGATTCACGGAGGACAATTGGATGCAGTAAAGTATGCAGAAACAGGATTGTGTAGGGCACGCAGTACTGACTTTCATACGAGGACACGATTGCTTTATCATCTACGATCTAGGAAAACGGGTTGTCAGGAAAAGCTTCGTGATACTATTCCCCAACTGGACGATGAGTTAGTTGCAGAGCTAAATGAGAGGGACCGTCGGGAGGCCGCGCGCTTGAGGTCGCTAGGTTATCCCGAATCGAAGGCAATGTGTCCACCAGTGTATGATCAGGTAAAACATAGGCGAGGACAACAAAAAGCAGGAGCAATTGAGCCACCAGAGGTGACAATTGACTTTGAGCCTGGGCAATTCCATCAGCTGCAACCAGTGGGATATAAGACAGGTTCCATCTCAAGAATTCTGGCATTCAAGAACAATGGGGCGAATACATCAGAATTGGGGAGGTGGTGGAAGCAACCGGTGGCCAGCTTCACATTGAGGTCCCAGACATGGAGAAGTTCGACATGGATGATGTGATTATCAGGGGTGGAAGGTCAAATATGGCATCCAAGCTGCAGTGCGGGGAGGTATTCGCGCCGGTTTTGAGAATATCGACCTTGAGGAGAAAGAGTGTAGGCGCCACCGATCCCTCCGCCAGCTTGGCCTCAAGGGAACACGACCTGTGGTGTGACAAGGTGGCCATGTTCATAGAGTTGATGGGCAATATGTCGAGAATGGTTGGGAACGTATTCATGGTGGAAGCTGACATATCAATATCTGAGGCTATGAGCGTTGGGCTCAATGGAAGCGACGGAGGAGTTCAAGGAGCTCGAGGTATACTGGAGGCGTGGGCTGCAGCGTATGGTGCGACGTGCTCGACCAGAGGGCCCTCAGATGAGGGCTGCGGCGGCCGCGCAGCTGGTGGCGCCCCGTCGCACCACTGGGCCCCCCCATGGGCCCATGGGCCCACCCGTGCGGCGGGGCGCCGACGGCGACGAGCCAGCCCCCCGTCCCGCCACTGGGCCCCCCTCACGGGCCCACCTGCGGGCGGGGGGCTGATCCCACCTTTTGCCCCCCCACCTTCCTGGTGGGGGGCGGCGCTGGCGACGGGCGCGCGGCTCGCGCGCTCGCCGCGGACACTACGGGCGAGACGCTCGTGTGGCGCGTGCGAGAGAGAGAGAGAGAGAGAGGAGGAGGAGGAGGAGGAGGAGGAGGAGGAGGAGGAGGAGGAGGAGGAGGAGGAGGAGGAGGAGGAGGAGGAGGAGGAGGGGGAGGAGGAGGAGGAGGAGTCATGGCAGCCATCCCCAGACACACAGCGGATGGATTGCTCCGGAACCGCGGGCCCCCAGAGGCCACGAAAACCCTTTCCGAGGGGGGCAGCTCTCGAGAACGGCCCGCCTTGGATGCCGCAGGTGGACGAGAAACGCCGGGATCGAAACCAGCAGTCCGCCCGAAGTCTGAGTCCCCCCGTCTTGGCCCTGCCCAGGCCGTCGACGGGCCATCCCACAGCTCGGAGGTCGAGGCGAAGGCGAAGTGGTGCTCCCCGCACAGCGTCTCCAGGAACACGCCGCAGCCGTCTGCGGGACAGGCCCGTCGGGCAGACATTCGACAGCGTCGCCGCCGTCGTGGGATGCGAATGGGAGGAGAACGAGGCGGTGAAGGAGGAGGGTGGATAGTAGAGAGAGAGGAGGGCGAGGGGGACGAGGACGACTGCGAGGATGAGGAGGACGACGAGGACAGGGAGAACGAGGCGGGGAAATGAGGGGGCCCAGAGATCCTGCGCACTGAAGCCGAGACGCCCCTCGCCTCCAACGATCCTCGAGCCCCGAAGGGACCGAAATGGAACACCGGCCGCCTGCACTGCCGCTTCTCCACAGGGCGAAAGCCTGAGAGCGGCCGGGCAGACGCGGGATCGTCGGGGCAGCATTCTCAACTGGAGGAGGAGGAGGAGGAGGAGGAGGTGGAAACGGAGGAGGAGGCGGAGGTGGATGAGGAGGAGGAGGAGGAGGAAGAAGTGGAGGAAGAAAAGGAGGAGGAGGAGGAGGAGCACCCGCAGCTCGCCCAAACGGGGAAAACGGGCGAGAAGGAGAAAGAATGCCCCCACTGCCGCAGAGACCAACGGCAATGCGCTATGCTACAAGGCATCGTGGGCCACAGCTCTCATCTCAAACTTCAGGCTCTTGTCCCAAGGCATCGTGGGCCACAGCCCTCCTCAAACGTGAGGCTCTGTGAGGCACCGCGGGATGCCAGCGCGCCCCCCGGGGGGGCCGCGGGGAACAAAGTGCAGCCTTCGGCGGGGCAGCTGCTGGCGGGCCGGCGTCTCTCTTGACGTGGCAACACCACGCGCACGGCAGGTCACAACGGAGTCGCCGCGGGCTCGTGCGTCCGCGTCCGGGGACGCTGAACCCAGAAACGTTTTCATATCTTGGGGGCGCATCCTTTACCTCCGCCGCCTTCCGCCGAGCTTCCGCCGGCTTCCGCCGGCGGAGGCGGCCTCGTTTTACTTCCGCCGACCTTCCGCCGTCTTCCGCCGAGGAAGAGATGACAATTCCTTCGATCCTCGAAGGCAAGGCCCTCTTTGGAACGCCCCGTGTCTCTGTCCAGAAGAACAAGATGTGATAAGAGCACGCCCTGTGATCTTCGGAGGCCCGCGCGGACATCCGATGTCGCCGCGCGGGCCGCTCAGTCTCGAGCGACCTTTTCCTGCTGCCAGGGGGACCCCCCGTCCAGAGAGCCCACACACGCACCGGCCTGTGTCGTCTCGGGGCCCCCAGAAGCCCCGACCCCTTCCATCAGGGCCAGCTTGCGAACGTTTGCTTATTCGGCGTTTCGACATTGGGCGGAAGGCGGGGGGGAGGGGGGGGGAGCTGGTTCCGGACCTCTGCTTGGTGCGACTGTTTGCAGCAGTGCGTCCCATGGGGGAGACTCCACCTGCTCGAAACAGGCGCCCAAAACAGCCAAGGTCTACTCCATTAGAGGCCTCATAGATGGGGTCCGAATACGTGGGGTCGGAGGATCGCGCCGCCTCGGCGATGCATCGGCGATACATCGGCGATGCATCGGCGATGCATCGGCGATGTCGGCGGCGCATCGGCGACGCCGGCGTGGAGGAAATCGGGCTCCACATCGAGCCGCATCGCCGATGCATCGACGACACGGCGCGATCCTGCGACCCCATCCACTCGGACCCCATCTAGGAGGCCTAGATCCATGGGGGGGGGGAAGGGTGCGAGGGCCTGCGCCGATCGGCATAACAACGAATACGAAAACGATCACCTTCTCATCCAAAGTCGCCTCTCGACGGCCCAGGGGAACCTGGCGAGGCCCCCCTCCGCTGCAGAAGGAGCGGCGCGAGCAAAACGCCCCGACGCTTCCCAGCTCGCTGGGGGCCCAGGAGACGGGGCCCCGCCGAGGGCCCCCCAAACAGAGCGGACGCCGAGGGCCACGCGGCCGCAGCGCGGCCCCAGTGGAGTAAAGCATCCCACCAGCACTTCAGGGTTTAGAGCGTAGGTGGTTTGGGGCGCTTCCTCGCCTGACCCCCCTGCTTCCCCTTCGGGGAAGGGGCCCATCACAGTTCCTTATCAATATGCACCTCCTCCCCCACCCGACCAGCGACACACCCAGGACCACGCGACCCCCCCCGCGATCCATGTCAAAAAACGCGTAAGGCACTGGGGGGGCCCTGTATATATTGTCCTCAAGCCTACCATCCCTGTCAAACACAATGCAAAATACAATTTGCAGCAAAATCTGGACCGTGCGAGGGTGCCCCATGATCGCTTTGCACTGGCTTTCGACAGGGACGGCGGCGGTGCCCTGAAAGTGTCCGCTCTGCGCAGACCCACCGTGCCTGTCATCACACAACCTGGAAGGCACACTGTGCGGCAGAAGCTGGTTCATGCAAGCGTGCAAGCCGTGCGGTGCGGTGCAAGCTATGCGGCGCTAGCTACGTGGTGCAAGCCATGTCGTGCAAGCTTGTTGGTGCGATGAGGGCGGAAGCTGCGGGGTGCAAGCTACGTGACGCAGGCTGTATCGTGCAGTCCGCGCGGGGTGCCTTATCGGGTGGCACCTGCACCGCCGAAGCTCCGAGCGACAGGCGCCCCCGAGGCGCCCCCGAGGCGGCAGCGTGGCGCCGCCTTGGCACGCCCGCCCAGGAACACGGGGCACCCGCGAGGGCGCCCGCGAGGGCGGCCACGGGGCGGCGAGGCAACGCGCCCTCGGCGGGCCCCCCCCGAGGCGCGGGGCGCCCAGCGAGCGCCCACGAGGAGGCACGGGCGGCCACGCGGCGCCACCTCGGCAGACCCGCCCCCCCCACCCCAAACACACACACACACACAGCGCACACACACACACACAAACACACACACACACACACACACACACACACACACACACACACACACACACACACGCACACACGCACGCACACGCACACGCACACGCACACGCACGCACACACAGCGCACGGGGCGCCCACGCGGCGGCCACGGGGCGGCGCCGTGGCGCGACCTCGGCGGGGCCCCCTCCGAGGAGCGGGGGGCCGGGCCCACGGGGCGCCGACGAGGCGTCGCGGGCCGCAGCGTGGCGAAGCACCGGAGTGCCGGAGTGCCAGCCGACTCTCCGAACGGAGCGGCGCCAGTACTGCGCGCAGCGGAAGCCAGTGCACAACTGGCCATCGCTCGGACGTCAATTCCCTGTGTTTTTTTGTTCGGTGTCGTGCGTGTTTTTCTCGCCAGGTGGTCGAGGATGCTCCTCGAGGGTCCTCGCCGAGAAGGAAATGCACACGTCCGAGCGATGCCAAGACAAGAGGCCTTTCCACAAGAAGCCCAACCCTGGGACACGAGGACGTCCATCGACTTCTGGCGTGCGAGCGGCACGTTCTCCACAGCAAGACCATCGAGACCCAAGAAGCCCAGGGCTCCATGGAGGCGAGCAGGAAGTTTCTTGGCATGGGCCTCCACTGAATCTGAACGAAGTGACGTCAGAACCAGTAAGTACGAGCACGGTTTGAGGTAACAGGTGTCCGAAGGGCCGAGACTGTTCGACCCCTCTGGGAAGGCCCGTTTCCCCCCAGGCTCGCCGCCGATGGGCATTCCCACGGGAAACAACCAACAACAACAACACCACCACCACCACCAACAACAACAACAACAACAACAACAACAATAACAACAACAACAACAACGACAACATTTCCAACAACAACACCAACAATAAAAACAACAGCAACGACGAAACCAACAACAACAACAACAACAACAACAACAACAACAACAACCACAACAACAACGACACACATTCTAAGACTGCTCGCTCTTACTTGCCAGCCGGTCAGTCTAAACGAATTCCCCACACCCACGATACCCGCCCCTTTTTGTCTTCCATCACACCTCCTTTGTGGGGATTATTTCTCTTTGCGGGGGGCGGCGGGCTCAGACAGGCGGGCAAACCTGAACGGGCAGACAATCCTTCGTGGGCGTACATGCGCCCGCCATTGGAATTGGTGTGGGCCCTGCAAAAAGAGGGGGAGAACGAGGGAAAGTGGGAGGAAGGGAAGGGGAGGGACGAAGGAAGAGGGACAACGCCAGGAGAGAAGGAGCGAAGAGGGGGCGGTTGACTAGAGGCAGAGAGAGATATCTATATATATATAGAGAGAGAGAGAGACAGATAAGAGGGGTAGAGAAAGAGAGAGAAAGCGAGAGAGAGAGAGGGGAGAGGGGAGAGAGAGAGAGAATGAAAGAGGGAGGGAGGAGGCAGGAGAGGGAAGGGAGAAGGGAGGAGGGAGAGGAGGGAGAGGGGATAGGGCAAAGAGGCATAAGGATAAGGGAAGAGAGGAGGGAGAGAGAAGGGAGGAGAGGAGGGAGGAGGGAGGAGGGAGAGGGAGGAGGAGCGGGAAGGTAAGAGCGTGAAAGTTCGAGGAAGTCCTAAGCGAAAGCGTGGTTCCTGAAGGGCCCACGACGGGCGGGTGATCCCCTGACGGGCGGGTCGGACGGGTGGGACATTCAAGCGGGGTGCCTGAGTACGGCGAGAGCGCGATTACTAAGTAAATTGTGACGGCGTCCTTGGCGCACCGTGTTTCCTGAGCGTCGAAAGCGCGATGTCTGAATAAATTGCATGGGAGTCACCGGCGAGAGCGCAACTCCTGAATAAAATGTGAAGGGCTCTCTGGCGGGAGCGGGGGTCTTGATTAAATTTACGAGGTTAATTCAACTGCGAGGAAGTCTCAAGCGGGAGCGCCGTTCCTGAATAAATTGCGAGGAAGTCTCATATGGGAGCGGGGGTCCGGACTAAATTGCGAGGAGGTCACAAGCGGGAGCACCGATTCTGAGTAAATTGTGAGGAAGTCTCAGGAACGGGGGTCCTGAGTAAATTTGGAGGAAGTCTCAGGCGGGAGCCGTTGTTGTTGTTGTACGTCGAAGGGGCGCACTTTGACTGAGAAAAACCAATATGCACTGGTCAGGGGGGATCAACAATAATTATATTTTAGGAATGAGTTCAACAACAATAACAATCATGATTTTAAGACTGCTCGCCCTTATATGCTTGAGTGTCCAATAACGCGTATTTCCCAAACCCTCGATACCCGTCCTCTTCGTCTTCGATCGAACCCCTTTTGGGGGGTAGACCTTTCTTCCCTGCAGGCCGGGCCCCGGCAAGCGGCGGGGCGGCCGCGGACCGTCGGCCTGGCCAGCGGCAGCGCTGATCGGCGGGGCGGCCGCGGACCTCGACCCGACCCCAAGAGGAACGGACAGGGGACCGACCGCGACGACGACGACGACGACGACGACGACGTCGAAGGCGACGGCGACGGCGACGGCGACGACGAAGGCGACGACGAGCGAAAGCGAGAGCGAGAGAGAACGACAGCAGGGCCACGAAGGGCACGAAGTAGGCCACGAAGGGCGACAGCGGGGACACGAAGGGAATGCGTATGGGGCCACGAAGAGCGCGAACGAGCGGGGGCCACGAAGTGCAGATAATGCGGGGCCACAGAAGGCAACTATGGGGCCACTGAGGGTAGCAACTGGGCCACGTAGGACAGTGAGGGGGACACAAACGGCGACAGCGGGGCCACGAAGGGCATGCACATGGGGCCACAACGGGCGCGACTCCTGGGTGCCTGGGTGTCGGGAGCGCGGCGCTTGGGCAAATTGCAGGAAATTCCAACGCAAGGCCATTCTTCAGTAAGTTGCAAGCAAGTCTCCAGCGAGAGCGCGACTCCAGAGCGCCGGGAGAGCGATTCCTGAATAAATTGTAAGGAAGTCCCAAGCGAGAGCGCGATTCCTGAATAAAATGCGAGGAAGTCTCGGGCGGGAGCGGGGGTCCTGGCTAAATTGTCAAGAAATCTTAGGCGGGAGCCGTTGCTGTTGTAACCCGGGGGCCAGGGGCCCAGTTTGAGCATCAAGACTTTCCTTGTCGAAAACAGGGTGCGAGCGTCGAGGGGCACACTTTGATGGAGAAAAACAATATGCACCGGTGGGGGGATCAACAATAATTATTCTTCTGACATGAGAATTCAACAACAACAGCAGCAACAGCAGCAACAACAACAACAACGAAAACAAGAACAATAACAAGAACAAGAACAACAACAACAACAACAACAACAACAACAACAACAACAACAACAACAACACAACAACAACAACAACACACTTCCAGCATCCCTTTTTGGACGCCCGACAGGGGTACGGAGAACATGGGTACAATGCCCAACAGCATATGTTGTCCCAAACCAACCGCGGCCGCTGTTGGGCAGGCGGCCTTCTGTCTCAAATGGACACAGGTCGCGGCGACACCGACAGCGAGCCCTGCTCAAAATGAACCGGAACTGCTGTCGGTCGTTGTACCCACTCTTTCCGTACCCGTTTCGATCGTCCCGACACTTGAGTTGCGCTTGCGGTTTGGTCCCTTCCCGTGGCCGCCGTCCGGCGTGGGCGCGCACTCGGCGATGCGGGCCCGGAACAGGGGACGACCGCCGAGCGCGGGCACGCTGCAGACGTTGAGGACGGCGTCCTGGCTTGCAGGCGTGAACACACTGACCATCGCCATCCTCGTCGTCCCCTCCCTCTCCACTCCTTTTCATGGGCGGGCCGGGCGTTTCGCCGGAGACTTCCTCGCCACTAATGGCCGTGATGCTTTACATGTGACAGCAGTTTTACAGATGGAGGGCGGGTGGTTTTCAAAATGTGGCTCTCGCCTTAGCGCCGCGCACATTCGTTTTGAACCTTTCCAGAAGCTTCACGGATTGAGGGAGGGTAGTTTTCGTTCTCGCTTTAGCGCCGCGCATAATCGCTTCAAACATTCGCAAAAGCTTCGCATTTTGAGGGCGCTTGGCTTTCAAAATGTAGCCCTCGCCGTAGCGCCGAGCACATTCGTTTTAAACATTTGCAGGAGCTTCACGGATTGAGGGCGGATCGTTTTCAGAATGTGGCTCTCGCCCTCGCGCCGCGTACGCTCGTTTTTCGACATCTGCAAAAGTTTCACGGATTGAGGGCGGGTGGTTTTCAAAGTGTGGTTCTCGCCCAAGCGCCGCGCACCTTCGTTTCAAACTTTGAAAGAGAGTCACGGAGTGAAGGCGGGTTGCTCTTAAATGTAGTTCTCGCGTTAGCGCCGCGCACATGCTCTTGAAACATTTGCAAGAGTTGCACCAATTCTCATGGCTACCGTACCAGAAAAAATGTTTCGGAGCGATTTTGGATTGTCAGGGCGCAACAGTCACGTTGACCCGCGGGGTTGAAGTCACAGGAACGTCGTTCTGGCACGATTCAGAAGCGCCATGACGTAACAGTAAGGTTCACTCGGGGCGTTGAAGTCCTGGGAAAGATGTTTGGCACGCTTCGAGATGTTTACACGGTTGTGCAATTGTAGGGGCCTGTGAAGAGGGCATCTTGGAGGGAGGGTGTATTTCAATATCGTTGATGAGTCTTGGGTTTGCACTGGTCCTCCTCCTCCTCCTCCTCTTCCAGCCGAGGAGAATGCATCTGGGGATTTGGCGTCCCCAATCCACGACTCTCTAGGGCTTTCGGCCTGAACACAACGGAGGGCGTCCATCCTCGACAGAGGGGCTTCCGAATAGCCCCCCGGGTCAGAGGCGGAACGGAGACCGCCGCCACCCAAAACCCTTCGGGCGGGCGGGGGACCGACCTCCAAGCGGTGGCACACCTGCGCGTCGTCCTGTGCTGGCTCCTCGGCGGCGGCGGTCCTTGCTTCTCCTCCGAGCCTCTCGGCCCGGGGCAAGTCAGCCTCGAATCGCGAAGTCGGATCGAACCGGAGCCCCTGGCCAAGATGTCCCCATGAGTTCGGGGGGCCAGCAGCAGATGCTCCCCAGACCCCTCCTGGGCTGCGTTCTGGGGAGGGGCTGCGGGGCGAATCCACGCGTGGCGACGAGGGACGGGTGGCGGTATCGGAACCTGTTCCTCCTATGGGGACTCCCAAGGAGGCCCCACAGCCTCAAGAGCACCCCCTCACGAGGCCCAGACGGCTCCAGGGGCGCCAATGACACCATGGACCACGGACGCATTCAGCAGCCCCCGAGTAACGCGCGTCGGATCGGACCGCACCGGAACAGAGTCGAGGGTGGATCGGATCGGCTCGGCTCCGCCAGGATGCACCACAACGCCGTGCAAACATCGGGCCGCATCGGGTCGTCGGAATATCGGAATTGGAATCGGATCGACCTGGGGATCGATATCGAGCCAGATCCAAGGCCGCGCTGACGGCGTGCTTGGTTGACGGTGCGGTTGGTCATGTTGTTTTCGTGACACCGACCTCACGCAAAACAAAATGTAGGAAATGACGGAACACCGTTTCCTACACTTCAAATCTGCGAACGCACCGAACGAAAAAACGACACAGCGAGACGTAGGAGAAGACAAACCACGCGTCCCTACAATTGGTTGAGCCACGAACTTCCAGCCTGGAACATATCCCTATCCCTATGCTGGGCACCTCCGTATCACGATGCCAATCTTAGGGATTCCCTTATCTTTGGAGGGCGTATCCCTAAGATTGCCATCGCCTTTTGGCGTGTCAATCTTAGGGATAGGGATACGTTCGAGGCTGGTAACGAACCACGCCCTCCTACAATTGGGTGTCCTACCTCGCCGTTCGCTGACGCACCGTTAGCGCGTCCACGGCAGATCGGTCGGGTCGGAGGAGGAGGAGGAGGAGGAGGAGGAGGAGCAAGAGGAGGAGGAGGAGGAGGAGGGGGAGGAAGAGGAGGAGGAGGAGGGGGAGGAAGAGGAGAAGAGGGAGGAGGAGGAGGAGGGGGAGAAATGGGAGGAAGAAAGAGGAGGAGGAGGAGGAGGAGGAGGAAGCCCTAAACGTCCTTCCTCGTTTGCCGTGTCTGTCGCTGGACCGACTTCGGCCACGCGGCTGTGGCGCCAAGCAGGCCACACCGAGACGCCGAGTCGTCGCAACCTGCACCAGCATGCCACCGCGGAAGTGGCAAAGTCGAGCCACAGGCAGGACTGGAGGCCTCTGGGGGCCCTCGGAGCGTCCAGGTGTCGTGCTCGGGAGCGAAAGCAGAACTTACCGCTGCGACGTCCTCCTCCTCCTCCTCCTCCTGCTCCTCCTCCTCCTCCTCCTCCTCCTCCTCCTCCTCCTCCTCTCCTCCTCCTCCTCCTCCTCCTCCTCCTCCTCCTCCTCCTCCTCCTCCTCCTCCTCCTCCTCCTCCTCCTCCTCCTCCTCCTCCTCCTCCTCCTCCTCCTCCTCCTCCTCCTCCTAGGTGGCTTCGCGCGGGCCCCGCAGGCATTTTGCCCCACGCGGCGGGCGCCCGCGGCGCGATAGCCCTCAGGCCCCTCGGAGGGCCGCCCAGGCGCAGCTGAGAGGTCGCGCTCACCAGCGCTGCGCTCCCGCCGAGGCGACCGCAGCGCGGCCCCAGCCACACGCCCCAGTTCGCCTGCCTGGCACAGGCGGGCGCGGCGGCTGCGGGCGGGCGCACGGCGACGGCTTCGGCACCAGCTGGACGTGTGCCGCCTTGCGAGGCACCACGGCAGCCAGCCCCCAGGCAGGATGTCCCGTGCATGGTCGAAGTGCGGTTCATGCTTGGCGACAGAATGGGACGACATCCTGTTGAAGCGTGAATGTAGCTGCCAGCACTGTGGCGCCAAGGTGAAGTTACACCGTGGTGGAGGCAAACGAGGAGGCAAGTCAGGTGATGATGGTGACGTTGGCCTTCAACTCAGCCTCGAGGACACGGCGCCCAAGCACAAGCAGAAAGGCAAGGGCAAAGGCTATAGCAATGTGAGCTTAGAGGAGACCCAGCAGTCGTACAAGATGGTGCTCACGAATCTGATCAGCACCGAGCAGGATGTGGTGATCAAAGCCGCCCTTCTCAAGCAGTTGCAGGATCTCAGCAAGGAGATGACGACGCCGAAGGACACCCCCTCGCCCGCGGAGGCAGTCAGGAGGGCGGAGGGTGTCTGGAAGGACGCGCAGTCTAAGTACCAGCAGGCCACCCAGAATGTCTCGCGGCTCCGCGAGCAGCTGGCCAAGGCCATCGATAAGGAGAACGAGACCATCCGTACATTGGCTGAAGCCGAAGTCTCAAGGAAGATAGCGGCCAAGGCACTTGCAACGGAGGTTTTGGAGGATACCAACGCTACAGTGCCCACGGACAAGCCAGCGTCTTTCGCCGAGTTCCAGTGGGACGAAGTATTTTTCAAGCAGGTCGAGTCTGGCGAGTTCGAGTGCGAAACGAGTGAGCGCGAGGGGCTGATGAAGATCCAGTCCCAGTTCCAGTCGACACGCAGCCAGATCGACGACACCAGCGAGAAGGTCACGGCCCGGAAGGCCAAGGTGGGAGCCATGAAGCATGCGGTCGCCGAGCGCATGGCCAAGAAGAGGAAGCAGGCGAACGGCGCGGCCACTGCGGGGGCCCCACCCACGCAGGCCACCGCCGCCGCCACGCAGGACGCCACTCCCGTCGACCAGGGAGGTGGAGGCAGTCCCCCTGCTGGCGCGGCCTCGGCACCAGGCCAGGAGAAGGAGGCAGCCATCGCGAAGGAGGTCGAGCGCAACAGGGCAGCGCAGCAGGCGGCAGGCGAGACGGCGGCGCGGGCTGCTCACGTCGCCGTGGCTGGGGCTACCGAGGGCGCCGCGGGGGGCAGCCAGGCCGACCCCAAGGGCGCCAGCAAGGGCGGAGTCAGAGAAAAGTTGGAGTTCCAAGTTTCGGTCAGCCAGGTTCAAAGCACTGACGAATCCAGCCAGACCGTCAGGTAAGCCTTGTCCCACTGCAGCTGGCACTGCGAGAGCCAACGAGGGCGGGGAGCTCTTCTTGGCCCAGGGTCACCGGCAGGTCCAATCTTACACGTCATCTCGGAGGACTTGGAGGGCTGTGCTCTGACGGAGCCGACGCATTGGATGGGTTTCTTCCCGTAGTCATTCGCCAGCAAGGCTACAGCCTAGTCATAGTGATTTGTTACGGGCATCATTCTGTAGGTACAGAAGTGAAAACATTTCTCGCTTCACCAAGTTGGGCAGTGTTCTGAGAGCCCTTCAGCTTCCCTGGATGGTGATAGGGGATTTCAACATCCCTGCTCCCGCTCTCGTCTCTGTGGGTTTTGTCGAGAAAGTGGGGGCCACGATTTTGCAGGCCTCCGTTGAGTCCGCGTGTATCAGCGCCCAGGGAGCTTCTCATATAGACTACGCTCTCGCCTCACCTGCCGCCGTCCCCTACATTTTGGGGCCCCATGCTGTTTTTGATGTGCCCTGGGGGCCGCGCATAGGTCTTGCCCTTCAGCTCCGAGGCTCGGGGGCCCAGCTTATCACTCGCTCGCTTCGCCTTGCCGAGAGGTTCCCTCGGGTCGATCGTCCCAAGGCGGCCCCTCAGGCGGGCAGCAAGTCTTCCCGAGCCAAACAGGAGCTAGCTACTAAGAGGGCCGCTTCGTTTCAAAATCCGGTTGACTTATCTGTCAAACTTTTTGGTGACCTCTGGGATCGGGAGTTGGTTGGCACCATGGGACCGCCTGCCAACCAAAGCGAGCAGGAGCCTAGCGCCACCCCGCCCGAGG